TTCTCTCTCTCTCTCTCTCTCTCTCTCTCTCTCTCTCTCACGATCTTCATTGTTTTCTTACTTGCTTTCACAGTACCAACCCCGTCCCCCCTCCTTTTCCTGCCTTATCTGATTCTATTATAAATCTGCCCTCGACACCCACAAGAAAAACTTCGCTTCAGCAAAAGCAAGCACCAAAACAAACGATTTACCCAAGCTCCCTCCTCTGACCCACTAACCTCGTCTGACATTCCGCTCTGCCCTCTCACAGCGAGTGACGTCGACGCTGGCTCATTAATATTAATGAGATACAGAGCAACACTGGTGTGTAGCCAGCTCGTAGCCAGTCAAACAGGCAGAGAGAGAGAGAAGCACCAGAGCTGGAACTGGGATTACGTGTAGGGTAGAAGAAGCTTGTTATTGTTTACTGAGTTGAACTAGATTCTACGCAGTCTTGGATCTTTCTTGCGCCTTTCTGCCTTGATATTTGTCTACATATTTTCTTAAAAGTGTGGAAGTATATCTAAACTTTTCAAGATGCCAGCTACAAACGAACAACTTTCAAAATACGAGAAGGTAAGTGAACATTATTTTGGATATTTTCGCTTTTTAGGTGTTGTATTTGTAACTGTAACTGTTCGCGTGTCAGCTCCTGGCCAGTCCTGGTAATGCCATAGCGTCCTCTTTCTCTAACTTCTAACGCTTAAAAATTATCTTTTTTTTTAGAAATAGAATCTAGACTTTGTGGTCTCTAATGACTTATATATCACTCCCCATTTGCCATTAGTTTTGAAAATAGATCTAGAGTCTAGAACTAGATCTAGATTCTAGAGTCTAAAATCTAGATCTAGATTCTAGAATCTAGATCTAGATCTAGATCTAGAATATCTAGATCTAGACTCTAGATCTAGATTCTAGATCTAGACTAGATCTAGATTATATTTAGATCTAGAATATAGAAGTCAAGGTCTGACTGAAAGGATTTAGATATCTAGATCTAGATCTAGATCTAGGCCTAGAGTCTACTTGAACTTAATTCTGTCCTGGGCCTGGGATATCGGCTACTAATCTAGATCTAGATCTAGAGATCTACTGTACTAACACGTAAATCTAGATCTAGATCTAGATATCTAGATCTCTATATATAGATCTAGATCTAGCTCAATTGGCTTGACCTATCCTATAGTCTCTTTGCTTGTTTGTGGTCTTTGAAGTGAGGAGGAATGTGAGAAGTCTAGAATGGCCTACACTACAATCACTTTCGGCCATGGTTGTACTAAAATAAAATAAAATGGTGAACAAGAACTTATCTTAGATTTAGAGATCTAGATTTCTCTATCTAGATCTAGATCTAGATCTAGATTAGATCTAGATTATTATCTAGATCTAGATCTAGATCTAATGTAATGAGTAATAATGTGGTGTGGTATTGGTGTGTTTATTATCATGTGTGGGCGACTGCATTGCTTCTGTTCTTATCAAAGAGTACTGGCATCTCTAAGAAGAAATATCCTAGCGATTGTTGCTTATATTTCATGTGTTAACAGCCAGTTGGATAGGCCTAATTGAAGTTACAAGAAATTTGTCCAGTTGCATGTTTCATGCAGCAGTGTGGATGTTACTGCTCTTGGAAACATGCCAACTTCCTAGCCTACGTCCCTGAGCTTTCTGTGAGCCCTGCATATCGAGCTGCACTGCCGTTAGCTCCGCGCTGATTGGTTGAAACTGAATGTGTGTCTCGCACACCCCCGAGACCAAGGTCGCATACATTATCATTGGTCGCTGGAGGGCTAAAAGCGCGTTTCTCGGTCAGGTTTATTGATTCGTTAGGTAATGTTTACACACAACACCGACCCAGTGGGTGGTTGGAGGATGCCAACTTTTCTTTTTCACTGGTGTGACTGTGTACCTAGATCTAGATCTGTTTTTTTTCATCGCACCAAGTTGTCGGTATCGCTTTTGCGTGATTTTCGTAACTCCACGTCGAAATTCTAGGACACAACGGTACAATGCTGGAGAGAACACACACACACACACACACACAC